ACTCTAAAAATGCTGGGTTGTTTTAACCCAACTTTGGGTCAAATATGGACAAACCCAAACATTGGGTTAAAAATGTAATAAAAAATGTAACCCAATAGTTGGGTTTGTCCATATTTGACCCAAAGTTGGTTTAAAACAACCCAGCAATTTTTAGAGTGTAGCTGCTGGATCAACCCACAAAATGGTGAAGTGGATGGATTGGCTTGTAAATGTGTTGCTGTATCAATTACAGGACAGTATCCTGGATTTCATTATCAGTCCATGTTTTTCAGCTTTAGGGACAAGCTTGTTCTCTCCTGCTCTCATATCTTACTAGTAAATCAGACTACAGAGGATCAGGGGCTTAAAAGTGTAATATCTCAGCGTTCGGAGACCGGGACACAAACAGTAGGTTTTCACAGCAGTACTGGAATTATTTTCATGTATTCATGATCACAGCAACAGGGTTTTCTGCCCCCGACCAACTGTCAAATTATTATTTTACATTATTTGTTACATAGTGTGATTTATATTCACATTTAAGTTGTAATTGTGTTGTCTATTCTGATATATGTAAGGCCTTGTTTCTTTTTCCCCTCTCTTTCCTTGGCGGTTTACCTTCATAACAGTCAAAAGACATACTGTAAGACTTATATACATGGTAGATTACCAGAAGTCTTGCTTATGGGCCAGGAGTGTTGTTTCTAGTTCACATCAATCATAACTTTTTCTTCCGTTTTCCCTTTTAGAAGTAGCAAATGATAATGGTTAAAGCTTGGTAATGAAACTATCATGGTGTGACATCTGTTCTACCCACTTTACTTTCCTACAGTCCTTTTGCGCAATTTTTTCGTTCGCGTTTGCTTGAATGGGTGGTTCATTCATTCTCTTCGATTCTGTTGTCTTGATTTTCTTTGAAAACGACGTAATTACAGTACTATGCATTGCCTATTATAATTAAGGGACTGAGAGAGAGAGACACAAAGTACATAATTGACCATACTAATTATAAACTGAATTTCACTTTTATGGCAGGAGCCACGTGGAATTTACTACAATTTCAACATTTTAAACAAGTCATTTTCAGACTGAACCTTTGATAGCCCTATGAGCTCTTTATAATGGGTAAGACTTCTCTCTTATCCCTTAAACTTTTCATGTATATCTGTCACATATATACGTATATAGAGTGATATGTCTGTATGTTTACATCTATTTATAGGGTGCCTTGTGCAAAATTGGGTTTGTTGACATGTTCTCCCTTCATTTAGCGATTTTCAGTTTTAAATGCAAACCCCTTGTTCTTTAAAATGGCTGGGTGCTTAGTACTGAGTGCTCTTTGTTAGGTCTTTTAAAAGCTCTTTCATGTAATTCTGTGTACAGGAGTCCACTCGATACAGGCATTCCATTGCTGTCTGTCTATATAATTGATTATGCAAGGACTATTCTGTGTATTTGGGCTTTGATTTTATATGTAAGTTACTTAAGAACAATGTAGGTACGTTTTTTATTATTTTCTTTTCTTTCTTTTTTTTTAATAAATGATCAAAAACTACAAGCTTTAATTGTCTTCAATTTCTGAAGCATTTGCTTTATATTAACAGATTACCCCATTATCCAAGAAAGCGTGCGTGCGTGTGTGTGTACGTGTGTACCACAAACTGAAATAGAAGAATGGGTGGGTGTAGATGACACAGGAAAGGAAGACAAACACTCAGACCGTAAATTAACTTGCGAGCAGCAGTAGGTTTCTTCAGTTTGTCTGGTTTATTGGAGAAAATGGAGTTCGGACTGGTCATTTTGTTGTGTTTCTGGGCAGGTGGGTGTTTAACAGGCATCTAATGTGTTTTTGTAGTGTTGATTTTAATGCGAAATGTTAATATTTTTGCAGCATTCAATATAACTTAACTGGTTCTAAGGCAATCTGGGATTTCTTTGAGCAATTTATTGCAATCTAAAAAAGTTACAGTTTTTAGATAGCATCCCATTTTAAATTGATTATGAAACATTTTTAATCTTCTACAAAAGAACAAAGTGCACAAAATTTCCATCTGCACATCTGCGTTCTGCTTCAGTGAAGCTGATTTCCTCTCTTAGCAGCTGTTATTACTCTTATTACTAGCAGTGTGTAAGGTTTTTTTTTTTTCACTTTTTCCAGTGTGACTTTCAATTTTAAAGGTCTAATTTAATTTTACACTGTATTGTGTAGCTTTTAATGAATGAATCCAAGTCTTGTCTATAAAGCATAATGTGGGTGGGAAGTGTACAGTTTAGTTAATAGATTTAAACATGCTGATATCATGTGGACTGAAGTGAATGCCCGATGGGGGAGTAAAGCTGTAGCCCATTTTAAGCTGCTTTGATATAAGAAGTATTTAATCACTTATGACCGTATCTTAAAGAAATCCCCACTGTGGACAAGTCACCGACTGTCTTAAACTCTGCTTTTTGTGGTGTGTTACACACTCAATTAAAGCATAAAATATTTAACTACTGTCATGTGGATTTCTGTATTATTGTCCTTTGCATAAGCTGTTGCCAACGCTAAAGTAGAAGAAGAAGAGCTGAAACTGGAGGCGGATCTGCCGTTTCAGCGCGTGGCCGTCGACCTTGAAGCTACAGTCCAATGCTGCTACCGTTGGAAGGAGAACCCCAGCGTCACCTGGATCATGAATGTTCACAGCATCAATGGCACCACACGTCCCAGCTTAGTAAATCAGTCCGAGAATGTGACACCCAAGCTAATGGTTGAATCCGATGGAGTCAAATGCCATTCGCTGGTTTTCAAGAGCCCCCAACTCAATAATACCGGCCTTTACCAGTGTAAATTAAATCATGGCTCACTTCACGCCTTTACCCATGGTACCTTCCTTCAAGTGTACAGTGAGTCAGATCAGTTATATGTTAATGTATACTCAATTTTGTTTCTTGTAATCATCATACAAAACATTAGCTAATAACACTACTGGTGAAAAGTTTGGTATATGTGGGATGTTTTTAAGAGAAGTCCTGTGCGTAAAAAATAAATTGATCGAGTAATAATATTATAATTTAAAATGGCTACGTTCTATTTTAATATACACAACCATTCAAACGTTTGGGATCAGTAAGATTTCATGCTCAGCAAGGCTGCATTTATTTGACCCAAAATACAGTAACACAGTTATATTGTAAATTTTTGCAATTTAAAATAACGTTTTAATGTATTTTAAAATATAATTTATTCCAGTGATGAAAAGTTGAATTTTCTGCTTCATTACTTGAGTTCGAGTTCAGTGTCCCATTCATCTAATGTTATGATCTGGTGCTTAAGAACATTTCTTATTATTATCAATGTTGTGCTTCTTAATGATACATTTCTTTTCAGGGAGGTTCAAACTAACTTATTTGAACTAGATTTTTGTGCAACAATGTAAAAGTCACTTGATGATTTGAATGCATCCTTGCTGAATAAAAGTACTAATATGTTAAAATGTACTGCCCTTAACTATGAACAATAGTTTATAATACATAATGTACTGTATGTAATTTCAGATTATGCATTGCAATGTAATATTGCACACAATTTGTTGTAGGCCCATTATTTATTCTTCATTACATAAGTATGATATGAAAGTCATAAACGTAACAATGCAAGTACTCAAGCTCTCTAAGAGGCTGCATTGTGCAATAATCCCCACAAATCATTTAATTGGCTGAGTTAGGCAAACACAAATAGCCCATTCAATGGCATAAACCCAAATTCTACTCATTCATGCTAAGTTTGTATTACTTTAACTCTCCTTACATGTACACAGACAAGATTTATTGTCAGATTAAGTAAACAGCTCTTTTTTTCAGTTAAAATTTTCCCTGAAATCTTCTCAATACAATGGTCCATGGTCAGGTAGATCTACTTGCAATGAAGTGCTCTTGTCATTCATGGGTTAAGACATTCTTTTTTATTAGAACCTTTGCAGAAGACCTTGAACCTCAGTGAGAGTGTGAAGAACAGCATCATTACAGCAGAAGGGGTGTTGCTGCTGCTGTGTGTTTTGGTCCCTGGTACTATGCTGCTCTGTAAGGTCAGATATGTTGATTTAATATTTATTCAACATATTAAATGTTGATATTTAATATGCACCAAACACAACAAAATAAAGTGATTCCATGAAGATCAAAGGTGTGCAACCTTTTTTTTCTCTATAGTCAAAGACGTTGAATGAACTGAACAGGAAGAAAGGACGTGAGGAGGAGAATATCTATGAGGTATGTCCATTTCCACCATGTTTTCTTTTTCTTATTACTAACATGCTGCTTATTAATTAAATTATTCACATATCCATCCATAGGGTCTAAACCTTGATGACTGCAACTCAGCTTACCATCAAATTCAACGCTCCAATCAGCAAGGCCCTTATCAGGATGTGGCCGTCTGTGGAGAAGAGATTCAGTTGGAAAAGCCATAGCTGGATCTATAGAAACAGGGAAAGGGACCATAGATGAAAGGGTGAAATGTGTGTTATTTGTGATGAATTGCTAATGGGTAATTTCAGCATTTCATGAGCCTGCTGTCACTGTCTTTGCATCATCTAATAGTTTGAAGATAAGCTTGTTTGTGTCTTTCAGTGGTAAATCAAACATATCTGCTAATGATTTGAATAAATTTTATAAAACATTTGTGTTGCTTTGTGTGGATTTTGATGTAGGCCTATGTCACATTTTAAGGGTGTCCTAATGAAGATTAATATAATAATAATATAGAAAAATAAATACTAAATTATTATTATTAATAAAAAATGACGACTCTCTTGGATACTCAAAGGGACATTTAAATAGTAAACAGTAGACTAACTGGGAGAGAGAAACCTTGGATGTTTATTTTTTTTACCTTGGATGTTTATATATTTATTTACTTATTTCATTTTGATGTGACACATGTTGTAGGAACGTCACTTGGCTAAAATGGGCAGCATGATGGGCGGTACTAGGAAGTAAGAACTATGTGATAGGTGCTTTGAGTATTCTCGGACGCGTTATTGGCTGTAGATTTGAATGTGGGCGTGGCTTTCTGTAAGGTATATCCAGACTTGACAGAGGTGGGAGGTAATGATTCGTGTTTGAGGAAGATGGCGTCTTCAAAGAAGTCTGGGAGCGGTGTTCTTGAAAAAACAGTAAACAGGAGGCGCTCGTCAAAGCACAAAGAAGTTCCAATAGGTATATTCTCTTTTAATAAACATAACCGCTTTTAAGAGGGAGGGGGAAGCTGTCGCTTGTAAATGACATCCGCGCTCCCTGTTAGATAGTTCCAGAAATGTCAAAAAGAAGATTAAAACCCGACGCTCATTGTGTACAGTATGCTGAACCATGTACCACACCGTATGAGTACTGCTATTTTCTTACTAACATGTCAACAGTCATTTTGAAATCTCTCAAGAGGCTGTAAGTTAGCTCTAAACCAACAGGTTTTAATTACGTTTGAACCATTTTGTGTAACTTAATGTAATAGGCTACATCGTCTACGCTAACTGTAAAACTGTAAGTTAAGTTAGCTAGTGTAGTGTATGCTTTGATGACATTTCCACATAAACTGATTACATTGTAATACATTGATGTTAACCGTGCTTCTACTGTTCTTAGACAGGAGAGAATATACGTTTGAATGAGTATTTGCCTTAACTTTGCTGTAGTTAGTAGGCTAACTTACATCAGAATATGCTTGACTCATGAATGGTCGAGACTGTGGATTTAAGCTTATAATGACAGTGTAGCCTATGTAGGAAGTGTTGCCTCGATGTTCTTAAACATTTTCATTTTAATATTGTTGTGAAGATATGTTTTGACCTCAATTAAGGGCAACTGTTTTGACTGTTTTCAAAAACCACTGTAGGCTTTCAAATAAACTTTTATTGAAATGGTGCAAGGAGTTCCCATGTTCTGTGTCCCAACGGCAGAGCGTCATTGGCTGTTTGGTTTCAGGTTTTCACTACCCCTGTCTTGTCCAGAGGATTTGCTATCTAAACGCACTCAGCCATTTTAACTGAGTTCTCAGATGTGCAGAAGAGCACAATGAAAATATTTGTAGTCTTGTACATTCATATATTGAACCTATCAGGCTGCTCACTCTATGTATGTTGTTTGGTATAATTAAGTTGTGTCACTTGCTGTTGTCGTGTTTGGATCAGAGTGAGAGGAAACTCTTCACTGATGTCAGGGCCAGCATGCATTGTTTTCTTTTCCTGTTGAGATGATTTACAAAATAATCTGGGACAAAGGTCAGCTTCGATCCTTCCATTATTCCTTACGGCTAGACAAATGAAAATGAATAATGGCTCTTTCAGACAGCACGATTTTCAAAGTAGTCAGGTCGCTGCTCTTTTCACACTGCATGACTATCTTGGCCAGCATTCAGTCGCTGCTGTGTTCACACTGGACGATGGATCGGCGACAGAAGGTTTCACACTGCATGACTTTAGAAAAATCGCCGACAGACTCTGTCTAGCACGCTGCACGCAAACTACATTTCACAACAAACACGCGTGAGATATGAAAAGGAAACAACGCGCGACAGCACACGTGCAAGACCGGAGTTCTCACGTGAGACTTTTTTTTTCGACCCGGTTGTGGTACAGCTGGTGAAACAGACACGAGTGCTCCTGCCAAATTTCTACTAATTTTTCTTCCATTTATTGTGTCCAAATAGACCGAGAAGAAGCTTTTTTTGTTGAAACAATGTCATATCATGTTGATATGTGATCTATAACTCCTCCCCGAACTCCCTGCTGCTCTGTATCTTGCTCTCTCACTGGCTGCCGGTGATCGCCAATGTAGTTTTCAGTCAAAACACTTTTCACACAGCAGGATTTTGAATCGCCGACAGGTCCAGATATTTAGCATGCCAAATATCTCACGGGCGTCGGCGACTCGTCGGTGATTCTCTCAGTTCGCGTCTTTGTTCATTCACACTGCGTGATTGTCACTCGCGTGAACGAGCGCCGATTTGCCTGTGATTTCGGGCATTTGTCGGCGATTTCTCAAAACCTGTCGGCGAGCCAAAATCGTGGCTAAAATCATGCAGTCTGAACTCGGCATAAAGGATGTGGTTCTTGAATGCATGTAGAATAAAAAGAGAAAGTTCAGATCTGGTCAGTTTACTTGGTTTTTGTCTTAATGTCCCTACCACAAATATTCTTAGTAGAAATGTATGGTATGTGATCCATGAGGATGGAAAATGCAAGTTAACTGTGAGAGCCTTTTTTAGCTTATGGTAAAAATAAGCTTGCTTGTAGTATATATACCATTAAAAAATCTGATTTGCGAGAAACTAATCTCCACTAATGTACTTGTATAACTAAAATAGTGCAGATATTTTACATTACATGAGCGATGTGACACAAATTTGTTATTGTGAATTGTACCCTATATTTTAAACAATAATTAGGTAAATTTCTAATTGTCTACTATTTATATCAAAAGTATGCTTCTATTTATGTATGTGTAGCAATTAAAGTATGTGTAGCAATTAAATGTACTTCTCAATTCTATCTAGGTCAGACATTTTCTTTTAAAATATTTTCAAAAATTTTTTTTTTTTCATATTTTCTGTTAAGCTTTTATTCTTTTAATACCAACAAACAGTTTGCCCTTGGAAAGAATAATTGTTTTCCCCTTAAAGGGATACTTCACCTCTTTAAAGATGAATGTGTATTTAATGTGGGTCATTTTTGTAGAAGAAATGTGAAATTATTTTTAGAATTTGGAGCTTTCTAGACTGAGAAAATCCAGAAAAAATTCATTTTTGGCTTATGTCATGTGGATAAAAGACAACTCCCAGAATGCACTTGCTTCGTTGCCCTAGGAGGCCACACCTACCGGTAACAGAGCGCAGTAGTTAAACAAGAAGTCTAGGCTACTAGTGAGTCTCCACGATGAGTCTGCCCAAAAATGTGTTTCGAGATCGCCCAAATTGTCCGGGATTCGGCTTTTGCGTTCTACAGTCGCCATTCATTATGTTTACTGTGGCAAGCAGGACGAGGCTAGGGCTGCGGGAGAACGGCGCGAGGCCGGTGGCGTGATTACTGATGAGTGACACATGAGAGATACGGTCTCGTATCTCTCACGGAGGACCGGGAATTTTCTTAGCAATGTTAAATCGCACATCAACCGATCAGTTGTTTAGCGTTCATGTAAACGCTACATTCAGATTCACCAATTGGAATGAATTCAGTTAGATTGAAACAAAAGGTGAGCATATAAACAATGAATGGCGACTGCAGAAAGCAAAAGCTGAATTCCAGACATCGGCAGCCGGACATGTCCGGGAAAAATAGGACTACTAACCCTACTACTCGGCTTTCTCCACAGAACCAGAGCCTGCCAGCTAGCTTCCAAAAAAAGATGGCTGTCACTTTGTGTACATTCTGTGAGTGAGATCCCACCCTCTATGGGTGGGTCGAAAACATGCAGGACAACCCCTACTTCTGACTGTAGTCTTTAGCCTCTGGCCAAAAAATCCTCTGATGATGCAAAATTAGGGTCATCGGAGGATTTTTTTCAGACAAATAATCCATAAATCTCTCGTCTCAGGGGGATATGAGGGTGGAAAGCATGTATTAGAAAATACTACAGGTTTTCTACTAATACAAAGCATAATGCCAAATCCTGAAGTATCCCTTAATTGATAGCTATAAGATGTATATGTCTTTAACATACTCCCTTGTGTTATTGCTGCCATTAAACTGCATTGAAATGCATTCATGAGTTTATTAGACGGTTATATATTCTAAGGAATAGTATTCCATGTTGTTTATTCTGAGTTTGCTTGCATAAAATGTAATTGATAGGGATGTATGATGTATCATATATTCAATTTAATTTCCTTTGTTTTTATCTTACAATAACAGATAATAATTTTTATTTTTGAAATAACTCTTTGGTATAAATCCAGTTTTCTTCAGTTAAAATGCATGGTGATGGCTAAATTCACTTGTAGCATTGATGTTTTTAAAATTAATTTTAGAATTTTATTTTCTATTATTTTCAATATCAGCTATAACATAAAAATAGTTTTCCGTAGCTGCTAAGGGTTATCTGTATTGGTATCAGCGAGTCCCTAGTTATTAAATGTAATCTCAATGCCAACATTGTTTACTGTGTAGTTTTTTTTTTTAGGTGGTCACAAATACATTTTAGTAATTAATGTTTTATGTAGTGTGACATATTACTGTTTTGCCATATGATGTTATAGATTGCCATTGAAGTCGGCATGTAACCCACAACTTTTGTTGTTGCAATAACCAAAAAAACCCCCAACATATTTAGAGGTCATTGTTTGTGTCAGATTTGGATCGTCCAGACAGTTAGGGTGAAGGTCACTGGCCAGTGTTCACCCCCTGCTGATACAACCAATAATTGATACAAAGGTTACGTGTTTGTATGTGAGAGTAATTTGTTTTCATTGTACATTGGGTGAAAAGCCATCTCACCATAACAGGGACAGTTGGTATGGAAGAAAATAACAAAGCTGTTCTCTCCAGGGAATGAGAGGAAGGAGAATAAAGGAAGGAGGAGTTTGCAGAAAAGAGGGGATGAAATAGAAAGTGACAGAATGTCACGTCGTGATCTGAGGGGACGAACAGGTGGGAGGGAGTGCGATTACAAGCGTCCAATCGAAACACTCCATCTTACTGTCTTCCCCTTTTGTTTACCTCCCCCTTCCCATGTCTCTTTTCCTGACTCCATGGCTGTGCTGGTATTGAGGGGACAGGACGCACAAGGACTCCAGCATGAGTTCAGAAGAGGGTAACGTTCAGATTCTCTGGGGATAAGTCCCTGTGTGTGTTTTTTTTTGTGTGTTGTGTGTGTTTTTGTGTGCATGTTTTTTTAGGTTGCAGATTCTCACACTTCTGTTCCCTTGTATCCCTTACCAGTGTCTTGTTGCTCCTCTGCTGTGAGTTGTGTTGTATGCTTAATGGGTAAAATGCATTCATGTATTTTAGCGCAGTGTCACTATAATAAGCAGTTGTCCTTGCAGTAGTTTGGCATAGCTGGCTAGGCTAGGCCAGGCTTTGGCTGTATGTGTGTGGATGAACTGAGAAGTACTCTCATTCAGAGTAGACACCATTGGGTATGCTTTGTTTTTCTGGGTGTAGCTGTTTTCTTTCTTTGTGCTTTAATTTATTGATCCATTGGGATTGTGGTACTAATTGGAATGAATAGTGTTGATTGATAAATGTTCTATTTGCCATCTTCTGTCCAACAACTGAATTTAGCCAACAGTAGCAAGTAGGGATGTGCACAATGACTAATTTAATTAACGTTACAGAAATTTTGCAAAAGACTAGTCTAACTGTTTCTTACCACTGTAACCGCTTGAGTGTCCCTAGTAGCAAATATACTCAATTTTCAGATATCCGCAGCCATTACAGGATTTTCAAAAGAAATTAATACTTTTATTCAGCTAGGATGCATTTCGTTGAGCAGAAGTGCATTTATGATGTTACAAAATATTTATATTTCAAATAAATGCAGTTCTTTCATCAGAGAATCGTGAGAAAAAATATATTTCCATAAAAATAATAAGCAACGCAACTGTTTATAACATTGATAATAATAAATGTTTCCTGAAGCAAATCAGAATATTACAATGATTTCTAAAGGATCATGTCATCTTACTGACTCCAAAATTTTCAGTTAAAGGTATTAGTCTTAATGGAGTGACATGTATTTATAGCTTTGTAGAATGAAACTACTACATTTTCACAGTGTCACTATTTACCTGCTTTAGCAATCTTTAATAAAACAGTGTGGTAGCAGTCATGAGCTTACAACGAAACCATATGAGGGCAACACACCCCTCCCAACACACCCTAATTGCCCTTAGACTTACATTGTTAGATGATTTCTAAAAACTGTTTTTGTTGTTTGTTTTTACAAATTATTTCAATTTAAATTATTTTCAGTTGCAATTGAGCTTAACTCGTATATTAAACCTGCAGCATTCCTTTAAATGATTTTTTTAAATAGATTTGTCAGCCTTTTTCCTTCATAAATAAAGCCAATAAACTTCATAAAGCCTTGAATTCTTAACTGTAGAGTGTTTTCAGGTGTTTGTGTGTGTGTGTGTGTGTGTGTTTTGCTGTGTAAATTGGTTCTGGGAAGTCTTTCATTGAGTAAAGGCATTGGGTGGTAGGTTCTCTTGTTGCACGTTTCCATAATGAAAAATTTATATAATCTATGGGCATGAGGTTAATTTATTCAGTGCTCTACTAGCTTCTGAACTGAACCCCATCACAGCTGTGAAAGTCATTACTACATGAGCCAAACTAGTTTTACAATAGTTGTTTGATTATATCTCAATGGAAGCAGTTTGAGCCGTGCCCGTGACACAGTAACATGCTTGGTTTCCCATGCAGATTTGGACACTAATATTTCAGGTGTGGCTACAGCCTAGAATAAGGACAGGGTACAGAAATGGAATAGAAGAGAGGATAATTCTTTTTAAGAGAGGATGATGTATTGTTTGTTTTTGCCAATGAAGGGAATATATCACTGCCAGTTAGAGAGGCAACATGGGGTAGTTTGTCAGTTGAAAAAGGGCCAGTTTGGAAAGTCAGAGAAGAGAATGACTGGATGTGTTATGGGTGGGGTTATCTGGGGTAAAGGGCAGAAAGGAAAGGGCCAGGGCTGTTTAAACCCATGTTCAGAGGATATTTTGGGAATTCATCTCTAAATAACTCTGGACATGTAATGCATAAGAAAAAATATTGTCTAAACTCTTTGCGTTGACAAAGTAAGCACTTTGGTTTCAAACATAGTTGTGGGGCAATGCCCTATTTTGGATTATATAAAGATTATGTGTGATCTTTAATCTTTAAAAAAAAAGATAAAAAAAGATTATAATCTGCATTTGTGTTTTTTTTATTATTATTATTAAATTATAAAAAAGCTGAAGGTTTGTTTATGGTTCTTCTATTCCTGGCATTGTCTACTGTTGTAAAGTCCCTCGGTTGTCAGGTCGCTGAGCGCAACAGATTGACCTAGTCACCTGGATTGTCTCTGTATCTGGCATGTCAATCTTGATCAGATGTGCATGAGTGTAAACAGTGGCTGGCTAATGGCCCTCCGTCACTGGTTACTCAGTATTATGTCATGTGATCTTGTCCACAGCTTCTGTCTCCTGTAGCTTGCTGTTCTTACTGTTTCTTATTTTCCTGTTGAGAAAACAAGCAACAGTAGTTTTCTTAGTTGTCAGTATCTTGTGATATGTTTGAATAGTGTCTTTTTTAATATGTTTGTATTGTAATGTATGATAGTGGTAGGACCTATAAGCTAAGTATGTTTTCATTGAAACTAGACCTTGAATTTATTTTTAATAACATTATTCTGTCTTATTTTACAGTAAAAACATTTTAAAGCTGCAGTCTGTAGCTTTTTTGTGTTAAAAATTATCCCAAAATAAATTTGAGAAAATACATAAGCCAAAATAATCTGCTTGCCGTAGCTCGATTCAAAACGGTAAGCTTGTAATAATGTTTTTAATGCCAGTGGTACTGGTGGATTTCCACGGGAGATTCAAGCATCTCTTTAAATCATTACATCATCACATCTGTACACATAAAGAAGAAGAGTCTCGGCTAGTAAGCTATATTGTGTGTGAGAATACTGGAGGATGAGATTTATAGCCTTTTCTCACAGCACTTGATATAATTAAACTTCTCGATTTGATGGCGAATCCAGAAAGTTTCAAACGACGACAACTGGAGACTCACCCGCTGTAAAATACAAAAGACTTGGCTACAGAAAAAAAAGAGACTGCAACCAGTCCATGCGAAAGCAAGGATGCATATCGATAGGACATTACATGTAGTCACGCAATGCTGAATGCCAGTATCCACATCGGCATAGTGATTGACAGCTGCACATTATCCTCAAAACATTGTATTCATCCTCACTGTATCATGCCAAGGTTGATAATTCCATGAATGACTGCAATTGCGGATTTCGAAGAGAGATGGCGATAAAGAGGAAAAACTGCGGACTGCAGCTTTAACATCCCTAAAAAAATAAATTGCTTAAATTTTAGTAGTTTTTATAGAATATATCTTTATTCCTATTACGTTTTTATTTTATTTTTTAAGAAAAAATTGACAATAAAAAAATGTATTGATGTTTATACTTAAAACAAGAAAATACAGTGCCGTTTAAAAGCTTAGAGTTGGTACATTTTATAATGTTTTTGATGCTCACCATGGCTGCATTTATTTGATAAAAAATACTGTAAAACAGTGATATAAAATAAAATAACTCTTTTCTTTTTGAATATATTTTAAAATGTAATGTTTTCCTTTGATGGCAAAGCTGAATTTGAATCAGCCATTACTCCATTCGCCAGTGTCACTTTATCCTTTTATCATTATCAATGTTGAAAACAGTTGTGCTGCTTAATATTTTTTTGTAGAAATCTGTAATACACTTTTTCAGGATTCTTCAATAAATAGAAAGTTTAAAAGAAAGTTTTCGTTTATTTCGCACATTTATCTTGTTTTAAGGGTGTTTGGATATTGTACTGGAAACATGAAAAAGCACTGATGAAGAAAATGATTTTCTGAAGTGAAGTACTTTGGCTGAGTCATCCAGTTGATTGATCTATAAAATGCTTATAGCGCTTTTTATAACCACAGTCTACACAAATGCTCGGCTTTTGTCCTGAGCTTAATCACTCTTTATTGGCTTTAAAGTATTTCGGTGTGTGTGCCAATTTGAAGTAATTCTTGTGTCCTCAACGCATCCGATCCCCTTTAGTGATGGATACCAAGGCAGTTTTCACTGCCTTGTTTGACGTGTGTGAAGAAAATGCGGCCTTTTTCTCTGGGGCTTCAAAGGGCCAAGCTGGGGATGCAGCTCAGCGCCTGGTGGACGCCATGACCACCATCCAGGAACATGCCCGGAGCCTGGAGCCTGTCATCTCTGGATTCGCTGCCATCTACCACCATTTTGACTTTGACCCTCACATCCCCGCCAATGGATATCGCTCCCTTGTTAAGGTGCATTTCTGACTGTGTGTTTAATGAATTTAATGAGTTAGCTTGAGGGCAAGAGAAGTCTTTCCTATCTGCCTGTTTGTTCTCCCAGTCCCTGCTGTTAAACTCATTTCTGCCAAAGGCATGTTTCCTTAGTCCTTCCATGCATGTCTTTTTTTAGGACTTTGTTTCTCTCAATAAGCAGGTTTACTTTACATTGCACCTCCTTTATCCTGCTTTTGTGGATTTTTCCTAGCATACACCTCAGTTCAGCTAAATCTGTCATCCTCTTCCTCAGGTGGTGCGCTGTTGCCTCCTCCACATCATCCACAAAGGGCGCTATATCACATCCAACAGGCGAAGCATCTTTTTCCGTGCCAGCCACAATGCGGCAGAGATGGAAGCATACTGTAGTGCTCTATGTCAGCTCAGGGCGCTGCTCTATCTAGCTCAGAGACTGCTTCACGACAACAGTCACGGCAACCTCTTCTTCCAGGAGGAAAGTGGCCTCAGTCAGAGCTTCCTGAGAGAGTACGCCTCCATGCATAAGGGCTGCTTCTACGGCCGCTGTGTTGGATTTCAGGTGTGTTTGTTTGAGAGCGCATGAGCTTGTGATGGTTCACATGATTCCATTGAAAAATGATTGTTACGTTTCTACTGTAAGGATTGAATCTCAATTTCGACAAAACTATTGTTGCTAAATAGATTCAAAACTAGGTTTAATGCAAGAACTAGGACCAAAACTCTGTTTAAAGCGGTGGTAAAGTATGATTTCACTTTTTTAACTTTAGTTAGTGTGAAATGTTGCTGTTTGAGCATAAAGACATTTTCAAAGTTACAACGCATCGCAAAAAGTTCATAGAGTGACAGTAAAGACATTTACAATGTCACAAAAGATTTCTATTTCAAATAAATGCTGTTTGATGTTTCCTCAAAAATGTTGAGCAGCACCACTATTTTCAACATTGATATTGTTGTGCACCAAATCAGCATATTAGAGGGATTTCTGAAGGATCATGAATTGTAATAATATTTCACAATATTACCATTTTAGTGTATTTCGGCTTTGGAATACGATTTAAGATAAATATCTTGTTTTCTTTCCTTTTAGTTTACTCCTGCCATCCGTCCATGCCTGCAGTCAATTGCTATTAGCCTGGTTGCTTTTGGGGACAACTACAAGAAGCATCAGTCGGGGATAGGTCAGTTGAGCTGTTACATTCAGCTTGGTTTGATAAACCTTCCTTTATGTGCCTCCTAATTCATGGGATCAGGTCACTATTTCACACTACTCTTTGCTAGAGTCTGCACAGCAGGTTCCCCTCTTGTGTTAATTTAGGGCACAAAAGTGCAATTGTACACACTGACCTATAGAGGCATTCTAATATTGTTTCTTGTGCTAAATGCTGCACTCTAGTGGAGGCAGGAGATACTGCACCATATGGTGAGTAGCTCTCACAGAGGGTGGTATGGATGAGATACATTTCTGTCCTTCCCAAACCTTCTGCTTGTATATTACCTTTTTCCTCTTTAGAGATGATTAGTGCCTGCGCATACTAGGGGTGGGAAACTTTACGCACCTCCCGATCCGATTCTGGGAATCACAATCTGATTTCAAAACAATTTGTGAACTATATTATTTTTCTTATAATGAGTTTACCGACTTATTGAATATCAGATTTATTTGTGAATGTTTATTAAATTACTTGTATGATTATAAGTACTTGTACATATAGAGATGCAAGTAAGGAGTCTTTCACATGAGCATGTAAAAGCAGCTGTCTGTTGGTAAATGGGTTTTGTGTATCAAATATATATATATATATATATATATATTTCGTAGAGCATTTGGAAATGCGTATACCTAAAAACGTTTCTCACAGCGCATAGCCTGTGCAATCAAGCCTGTGATTGTCCTTGTATTTCGCTTCAACCTCTTATTTGCAACCTTAATGCAAGTTTATAGAGTTTTTCAATGGTTTTGTGTGTGATTGGTAGCAAGCAGAATATGGATCTCTCTTTTTTAGCAGTTCTCAACTCTGGCCCTCAAGGTCTACTTTCCTGCAGAGTTTAGCGCCAACCTTGATCGAACTCACCTGTCTGTATCTTTCTAGTAATCCTAAGGAGCTTAGATGACTTGTTCAGGTGTAGTTGATTTGGGTTGGAGCAAAACTCAGCAGGAAAGAGGATCTCGAGAGCCAGAGTTGAGAAGCCCTGCGCTCACAAGTGCCATCATAAATATGTAGGGGGAAAACTAAACTCTGGATCGATTCTGAAGTTTGAGAAGTGAACCGTGATGCTTCTGAGAATCTTTTTTTTCTTTCTCCCACCCCTAGTTACTATGCTGTGTTTTAACCTGAGAGCAAGACTGGTTACAGATCAGTTCTTTCTTTAAGTGCCTATTGATAATTGTAAATATTAAACTAATTAATCATGCATGTTTGTCAAGGTAAGATGATCGAGGTCATTATTATTTGTGTGTTTATGTTTTTCTGTTTTATTTCTTCCCCCCCCCTCCTGTATTACTGTCTGAGTAGGATGCCCTGGTGTTATATGCTAGTTATGCAGCAGACAGGCATTCATCTAACTGTCTATTGTGTTTCTCTCAGGTGTAGCAGCCAGTTCTTTCCTCACCTCTGGGAAGTATGCCATTGACCCTGAACTGAGAGGTCGGGAGTATGAACGCATCACTCAGAACCTGGATGTTCATTTTTGGAAGACATTCTGGAACGTTACAGAGACTGAACTTTTATCAGTTAGTAAACATTTCTGTGTTTCAGTTAGGGCATGACAATTAATTGAGAGAAAATTGGTTTGAGATTTTACCTTGTATTAAACCACAAAAATAAAAAATAAAATAAAATCTGCTTGAAATTAAAGAAATTATACCTGACGCATATTACCACTGTAATAATAAAATTGTAATCTTCAAAATAATAATGATAATTAGATATTACTATTACTAGTAATATATTAATTACATTACATTACATTTATATATTTGAATTGAGGTTAAAAAGTGAATGGAAATTAGCACTGGGGCCCCCAGCAAAATGTGAAAGAAAATTAAAAAATATATTAAAAAAATCTCTTTAAAGTTACTACATTTTAAATGCATTTAAAGGATATTGACAGCAGAGTGTGGGCAAAACATTTTAGTCTTGATATCTTAGCAATTTCAGTAGAAATATGAGATGCCAATTGTTCATAAGGCAGTTCAAATTGCTTTGACAATATTTGTCAAATATTCCTTTGAGTTATAAAACTCCTTGCACCAGTGTCTTTTTAATATACTCAAATCTTTTGCTACAGCTGTTCAGATCTTATTATGACCAGTTCAAGTGTTCATATTGCAAAGTACAATTCACATAATAGAAAAAGCTTTCTCTCATCTCTCTCTCTCTCTCTCTCAAGGGTCTGATGTCTATAACGGCCACAGCTGTGAAAGTAAATCGAGCTCTTTCTGTGCCCCCTATGCCCTTTGACCTGCCGTTGGTGGTGGATCCCACCCACATTGTGACCGTGTCTCCTCCAGCAGCTCATATCGGCCTGGGGCCTGTGCAGATGAGGTTGATCTCATATGAGCTGAGAGAAGGACAGGTACATACAGTTCATATAGATGTTATTGACCATCTTAATTAGTCTTGAATGATAATCATCTCAATTTTTTCTTCCTCCTCCTCCTCACAAAAGCTAAAGCATGAACTTTTTAATTTGAACCATAATTTGACTACTTCGTTCTTCAAAGAGAGTACATTTTCCACTATACATGCCCTTCTCTTGTCGATAAATAAATAACTATGTACAGAAAGGAAGAAATGAATAATGAGGTGTGCTTAGCTAAATTAAGCGGTTAAGCTTTTATCCTTTTATCCTTTACTTAAAGCCCTATAATTCCTGATATAACTCTCTGTGTCATGGGAGGACTTGAATTGGTTGCAATGTAGAGGAGTATGGTGTAATGGTGTTTAAAAAGCTTACTTGACATTTCTTCACACCCTTTGAACTCAGCTGAGGCGTAAACGTGTTTAAGAATCATGCGTCTGTAGCGTTTAATTATACATTTCTTGTCTAAATGAGAGTTTTTGTCTTTGTGTGGGGTACAGAGTTTCATAGAAATTCAAATGTTCCATAGGTTTCTCTTTATTGTTCTGGTGCTTATAGTCCGTTTTATATTTTTATTTTCTGTCACAGGACAGTGAGAAATTATTAGCACTGTGTCGCTCAGAGGGGGGCCCGATATCTCTTTCTTTGGGCTTGAAGCCGAAGCGCCATCCCCCTTCCCCATGGCTGGTGTTGCACTTCCACGGAGGAGGCTTTGTGGCTCAGACTTCCAAATCACATGAGGTATCTCTTCGCCTCTTCTGTCCTTACACGTCCTATCCACGTCCTCCCTTTTTCCTACTTTAAATCATGCAGACATGTTACTTTTAAGTCATCAGGCATAAGATTTACACCTAAAAATCTTATAGGCTTACTTTAAATCTAGGAAGCAGAATATCACAGAGCTTTGGGGTGGGAATAAACAATGAAATAGAAATAACCCATTGCTATAGTTCTTATTAGATTTAAAAAAAAAAAAAAAAATTTGAACAGTCCCAGTTTTTATGTCATTTCCACCACAACAATGTTCCCCTAATAATTTTTATTTGTATAAAAATATCCTAATATATACATATTTAGGATACATAAAATGTTAGCTGTGAAATTAACAATTAACAATAGCAAAATAAAAGTTTTAAAAAGTGCAAAAAGGTTTTATTTAAAGTGCCATTTCCAACACAAAATGTAATCAAACAAAATGACACTGTGGTGAGAATTTAAAATTTCCCTGTGATTTATGTACTTCTACTTTTGGACATTGTTAGTGGACAAATTAAACTGTTTTTAAGAAAGGTTATTTTCACAGATGTGCCCATAGTTAAAGAAATACCAAGATGCTACAGTCTACAGAGCATATTTTACTGTTAGATTAGATTTATTAAGTAAATAAAGTTGTTCATGGCATATTTATTTGAATTTTAAATACTTTATTGTCTTTAGACATTGACTGTAGTCACCCAGCATTTCACTTCTATGTCTGATTCTTCATTTAGTGGTTTTAATAGTTCCTCTTCTTTTATGCAGAGCAGTTTCTTGGCAAACACTATAACTTAGGATATTGGTCATTTGCATTTGATTGTCTCATGCAAAGTATAAGACTTCTGCTCTGTTAAAGTATCATATTATCACTGCACTCATGCAAAATTCACACAAATAACTCACCAGCGGCAGCCAGCATTCTTGACACATTGCATTAGCTGCTTGAATGAGCTCCACTCAACAATAGACACGTTGATATGAAATCTAACTGGCAGTCAGAGCTACATGTTGTGACGCCTGTCAGCACGCATCATTCCTTTAAACTACTAAACAAAACTTAGAGTGAGAACAAGAAAAAAGACTGAAGTGTCTGTGAATAAATATGCTCATTCCCTAAGTGTTTTCTCCAAATGCTTGGTGAGGCATTTTTAGACTGATATTCAGGGTGACAGAAGCTACTTGAAATGAACATTTAGTGTTGAGAACTGCTCTTTTCAGCAGTTGTGTCACACTGAAGCCATTTTTTTGAAGCTGGAGACTACAGGAGGTCGGGATTCAGAAGTGGATTAGGATTTAGAACTACTTATTTGAGACAAAAGTGAAATAAAGACATAATATATATAGTCATATCTACTAGATTTCAGGATAAAACATGAAGAGTTCAGATGCAAAAGCCTCTAAATGCCATTTGAAATTTTCTTCTAGAATGATCATTTTTATCAAGCTTGTATATTTAAGTTCAGTGATTTCACTTAAATGGCAATGATAATTACCTATTAATTGTTATTTAAGTGAAATTACTGAACTTAAATATACAAGTTTGATAAAAATCATCATTAAAGAAGAAAATTTCAAATGGCATTTAGAGGCTTTTGCATCTGAACTCTTCACATACTGATTGGCCAAAACTGATATTAAAACTTTGTCAGACACTTTTTGGTGCAAACAGGGGCGGATTATGACTTGTAAAGGCCCTGGGGCCAGGTATCTCCAAAGGCCGGTCAATAAAACGACGTTTTGAATAAAACGACGTTTTGAATAAAACGACGTTTTGAGATACAATGTTATGTTTCCAAGCTGATATTCACTTTGAAAACTGGTTCTCTTTAGGCAGAGATTGTATTTTTTTTTTCATGTTCTAGTTCTGTTGACTCTTACACTGTACAATAAATGTTCATTCTGTTGAGTGTTGGCTTTCATTTGATACCATTTTTATGTATATGGACCATTAAATTGGCCTGAAATTGCTTGTACAAGTCAAAAAAAAAAAAAAAATAAAATTCAGCTTGACAACCATGCTAATATCTTACCAATGGGTGTCTTCTAACTAAAAAATATGGTGACAGCTTGTACCAAAACATGTCCGCAAAAGTCGGAAGCCCTTTTCAGAATTGCCCCCCTGACTATCGGAGAAAGGGATGGGATATAGAATAGGGATGTCTTTCTGGGGGGAGAGCATGTTAATTTTTTTGATTGTTAACATGAATTAAAGCAATCTGCACTGAAAAAAAACATTAATATTAATGCTGCAACATTCCATAAAAATAATAATTGTCAATTTTAAATTTGACATTAAACCAAACAAATAACATATTCCCTATAAATTACGAAGAACAAAAGGAAGAAATAACTAAACCTGAAAATCCTGGTGTGATTTTTTTTTTTTTTTTTTTTTCATAGTTTATGATTTCTAATCCCTAAAAATGTATTATTTTTCTAATTTCTATTTATTATTTTTTTTTCCCCAGCCATATCTGAAGAGCTGGTCTCAAGACCTGAATGCCCCCGTCCTTTCAGTGGACTATTCTCTGGCCCCTGAGGCCCCGTTTCCTCGGGCTTTAGAGGAATGTTTCTATGCCTACTGCTGGGCCATCAAGAACCACAACCTGCTAGGTGAGAGGAATAGCGCCTTCTTTATACTTCCTTGTCACATGATATTGTGATTCATATTTGTTTCTTAAAGTTGACATGAAACGGAAGTAGCAACAGATATTTTTTTCCGTATTGTATCGTACATCTGAGTATTGCAGCGCTTATTAAAAAAGAAAAAATATTGGGCCCACTTTATTTTACATGGCTTTAAAGGGTTAGTTCGCCCAAAAATTAAAATGATGTCATTAAATCATTAATGATTCACCCTCATGTCGTCCCAAGCCCTTAAGACCTCCATTCATCTTCGGAACACAGTTTAAGATATTTTAGATTTAGTCCGAGAGCTTTCTGTCCCTCCATTGAAAATGTGTACGGTATACTGTCCTTGTCCAGAAAGGAAATAAAGACATCATCAAAGTAGTCCATGTGACATCAGTTGATTAGTGAGAATGTTTTGAAGCATAGAAAATATACATTTTGGTCCACAAATAACAAAAACTATGACTTTATTCAGCATTGTATTGTCTTCCGGTTTTAAATTATTAATTCAAAGTAAGTACATAGTACTTCAAGCCACTTAATACAAAGTGAGACCTTTTTTCTTTTCTTTTCTTTTTTAAATAAAACATACACAATGAAAATTGATGGGGTGAATTTACATTGCATGCCTATTTTAAGCCTCCTTTGTCTGGTACACAGTTTGTTGTGGTTCATTTTCAGTGGAGTTGGCAGTCAACATTTTTTTGTCCCAAATATCTTAATACACCAGACTGCTGGTGGCACACGTCAGGCATGATTTTGTCTTTTCATGGTTGACATTGAACAATCGGAGGTGATTTTAGACACGACCCATAAAACAGCATTTAGCTTTTATGTGGTCCTTCAGCTTTTATGAGTGCAAAACCTGCACTTCAACCCACATATGAAAAATGAGTTTCTTATAGAATGTCAGAACACATCTTTCAGAGAAACATTTTATTTTAATCATTTAATTCTGTTAGTGTTATTACCACTTTAATGAAACCGAATACAACATTCATAATAATTGCATCATCCATCCACCAGACTGATTTTTACATTTTTTTGATTAAGCTACAAGACAAGTGAAATTGCCCGACTTGACGATCTGTTGTACTGTGATGGTGTCGAGATCCCACAGGGAACAAAGATGCCTATTGAAACTCGGCTCACACTAGGTCTGATTACAGCAGCGTAAATATATTCATCATTCAGTGTTCTCTCACCTCCACTATTTATCTCAGGATCATGACGCAGGTCTTGCACTTCTAATAATTCTCTTTTGGTGTGAAAGCCACACCACGTCAGTGATAAAAATGTGACCTATTTTTAGATTTCTGGAGTGTATTTATCTTCTTGATTCTCTAAATAATTTACTTTATTTGATCTATTGCTCGTTACTTCATTTTCTGCTTTGCGCCTCCTTACTAATTACCCTTTGTGCCCCTCTCCTCCTCAGGTTGGACCGGTGAGCGTGTGTGTTTGGCCGGTGACAGCGCAGGTGGAAACCTGTGTGTGACTGTGTCGATGCGGGCGGCCGCTCTTGGTGTGCGCATGCCGGATGGCATCGTTGCTGCTTACCCCGCTACACTACTCACCGTGTACGCCTCACCATCCCGCCTGCTCACCCTCATAGACCCTCTGTTACCCCTCAGTGTGCTCTCACGCTGCCTCAGTGCTTACGCAGGTCAGTCTGGAACCGCAATAGGTTTTTATGGCAAATAGTGCTGTGTTGTGACTGAGGTTATTAGCAAGCTGGAATGGTCAGGTCTGATGCATAATTTATCACTGGTAAAAATTTAGCATATTCACAATTTAGGGAGTGCAGACACCTTAATGATGATGAATGATTTCAACAAGTAAAGTTAAGTGAAGCAACACACATCAGTAATTGATTAATAGGTTTGTATTTTGTTATAAAGGATTTGATTAGTAGTGTTTTCAATCATAATAATGATAAAGTCAAATCAATGGCCCAAGGATTTGTATTTTCTCTGCAGGTTAAGTGTAGCAATATTTTCTTTCTGTCATTGTAGTACTGGATACTAGGGGTGTAACGATACTCTCATGTCACGATTCGATGATTACTGAACTCAAAATTGGAATTACATTGGGGGTGTTAATGAATAGGCTTAGACTTGGTGCTGGTACACAGGGCAATGGTGACACCAGAATAAAAATAATCATGATTTTTGATTTTTGATATTTTAGATTAATATGCTTGCACTCTTTCTCCGACTAGATATATTTAAAATAATGTTGTATATAAGTAATATTTGGACATAGTATAGTAATATAATAGACATTTGGCACTAATAGACAATAGACATATTCCCCCATTGCATTATTATACATCATATTTAACATATAAAGTAGTTTAATGTAGTACTGACACTAAAACTCTGAAAACATATAATTTTCCACAGTCATTTTCATTTTGGGTGATTTTTACGCGATTCACTTTGTCACTATCCACTATACATGTTGTATTTTTGTATTGCGAATGATATATTGTTACACCCATACTGGATACTTAGTCTACAGTATCTAAAATGCTTCTATTTTTTTTATTTTTATTTTAACACTTAGTTTTTACAGATTATACTATAAGAATGTCTTTGCATTAGCCTTTGCCTTTTTGCTTTTATGAAAGCTCCACAAGATATTTGTTACTTTTAATTTTTTGTGTACTTGTTTGTTTATATATTGATTGAATCCTTCACATTTGATTTGGATTTTTCCATCCCTACTGTATGTTTTTCCCCCTTTGTCCTTCTCTGCTGTGTGTAGGCACAGATCCACAGGTGGAGAAGCAGGTGGAGAAGGTGAGCACTTTGAGCATGGTGAGGAGAGATACTGCCTTGCTGCTCCGAGACTTCAAACAGGGGGCTTCCAACTGGATCCATTCTATGCTGGATAGAGGAAGTGCAGGTACATGTATAGGGCTGAAATGGAGCGTATTCTGTTTTAGAGTGTACTCATTGTGCCTAGTGTGTCTAAAACGGTATTATCAATATGTCTTTTTGTGATAATAATCCCTACACACACGGATGATGATGCCTTTGAAATAGTGCAGCTAGCTAATTATTTGATCTGTTTTAATGAGGTTTAAATTAAGGCACACAAATCCCTTGTAGCACTCTGCTTTGTTTGATATAATTGGCTCCATGGTGATAATAGCCATTTGTTCAGAGCTATATGTGGTAGCTTCTAAACTCATTCTCCAGCTTGTGGTGCGTGACCCACAGATGGTTTTGTGGAAAGTGGTCCTTCTGAGCATCTGCTGACTGAAGGCTTCTGAATGGAGCCCCTGATTCAGTCTGTATCTGTCATCTGTTTTTAAAGCATACCTGGAAGGCTAATGTATGCATGGTCTCGCAACCCAATTGTTTTTTGTGTCACAACTCCACAATTCCTTCCTCTTCTCTACAGCAGTATTATGTTTTACTAACTCGGCACCCCTTTGGCCTCAGTGATCTTCCCCATGTTATTGCAACAACTCTAGTTAAGCTCTACCTCCCCTGCTTCAGTTGGTTGATACCAATTATTTTAAATTGTTATAATTATATTAGAAGAATTTTTTGTCTATGAGAATGAAAAATACAACACTAAACACTTCAAGGATTAAATGCTAAAGGTGAATTTTGGACAACAATATTACAGAATGAAATATGTTTTATATTTGCCAAAGATTACATAAAACAGTGTTATTAAATAAGTTATTAAATGACACGAAAGGTTTTCTAAATGAGCGAGCACACTTAAATATGCAATATTGATGTTGGCAATAATAGGTACTGATGTTTTGCACAAATGCTCACCTCTGACTTTATCTGCATTTTTATTCTTCAATCTCAAACAAAGCCCTTTGTAATGGCTTCACATACTGTGTTGTGCCAAATGCTAATTGTTTTTTAAGTCAATGGTTTAAATGGGCTACTATCAACCCTAGATCTCATATCATTTTAGTTCATTAGCTCTCACAGAGAGAGAAAGTATAGGGCTGTGCAGGATGTCAATGCAGTGTGGCTAAAAGGCATCATTAGTGTGGTGTCACACACAACACAAAGCATTCTAATTGCCTCATGATGGTCATGAATTCATTATGTACTATACCAGCATGGCTGAGAATAATTTTTCACAAGATTGCGGCTATGGGCAATACAGCTGTGTTGTGGCTGGTCAGTTGTGTGTCTTAATGTCTGTTTGTATGGTAGTTTGAGGGCCTTAATATTTTCCTGAATGTCTGTTTAATGCCACACACATGCATTTCCCTTCACACAGTCACATGCCTTACCTCTTTCCCTGGCAACTGTTTCCTCGCCAACAGCCTCCACCAATGTCCAATGAGGGTCTTTGTAATCCCCCACCCCTGTTGCTTAAAATTCCTACTCTGCCCATTTGTACTCCTTTTACATAGTTTCTCATTTACTTTCTCATTTTGCCTTTCTACATATTTGCATTGAGAAATGTTTCTGGAAGCATATCTGCTCTCTATAAGATTTCAAAGAGGAATGTCCTCTTTTCCAGCTTAGAAATTGCTTTGGGAATTCAGGATTTACCTTGGTTGTGTTGTTCCAGTTCCACCATCACATTTTGGGCTGTTAATGTCTAATATGTAGAAATGATCTAACAAAATAATAATGGGAGTGCAACATCAGTCAATATATGTAACTTTAAAACATCCACATCACCAGGATGTCCTTGAAATGACATTCAGTGTTACTATTACCTCTAAAAACAACCTAAATATCTCTCCTTTTTTTCTTTTCAGACTCTGTGAGAAAGAGCGTTTCAGAAGCATCTCTGACCTCTCCTCACACAGACCCTCCAGTGTCTGCCAAGCCATCGGAGTACTCCCATGGGAAAGGGTCTATGAAGAGCCAGACGTGCCAGGACTTGGGCGCCCATGCTAACAGCAACGTGCAGAAAAATGTCAGCGAGACCACCAACCACCTTAGCACCACTACAGCCAACCACAGCTCCATCCTTGACATCACTCTGACACCCGAGAGCAAGGTACAGTTCCTCATCTTGTGCTTTAAAATAGTTTAATAAAATGTCTTTTTTTCACCGTGTTTCTATAGCTCCCATGGTGTCGAAGGTCTCTCTTTTACAGATTGCAACAGTGAGTCATATTAATCATCCAGCTGATTTGCATTCTACTAGGGTGCCGATCTCTGCTACACAGCATCCATCAGGCTGTTTTTCATGGCTTTATGAGTTTGTGAAACATGCCAATATTTGCGCTGATTAATTTGCACTAGAGTGAGAATGATCTAGCTTTCAACAATTAAACAGTGTTGCTTTATATCATAGTCAAACATAACATTTAAATAACAGACAGACCACTCAGTGTTAGTAGGAATCTGGTTTGTTTGCTGGAGTATAGAACAGATGTTCGTACTTCGTACACGGTATCAAATTGCCATTGGTGGCTGAAAAACAAGAATTTGTTATGCCACAATTGGCATCAGAGTCAGAGCTGTGGCAGAACGCAGGCTGTCTAATGCTGAGAATTAACTGGCCTCTTAACACTGCCTGTTTTGTAATTGCTTGCAGTAAATTGTTGATCTGGTTATTTTAGTCTGGTACACTGTATGCAAATAAATCGCTTAGGTTTTTTTTTGATTCTCCACAATTCTTTCACTGTATTTCACTCTGTCCGGCTTAGTGGAGTGAGAAAGTTTAGTGCTGAGAATTAAATATTTGTGCAACTCTGAGAAAGTGTAAAGGATTATGCTGCAATGATGTCACTTGGATTTTGCATGCCATTGTTCAAGCATGTGTTAAAATCCCACAGAGAAACTCATGATACTTTGACGTCAATCGCTGAATTTGAAACGCTAATTTTTACTGCCTGGTTCAAATGAGTCTTCTCAGCCTTTCCTGAACTCATTCCCAATCTCAGTTCATCTATGTTCCTTATACATTTCCACTGCCCTATATAAGAAAAGATTTAGAAAATTTATCACAGTTTCAACAAATAAAAACAGCACGACTGTTTTCAACATTGACAATAAGAAATGTTTCTTGAGCACCAAGAAATCATAGATTGATTTCTGAAGGATCATGTGACACTGAAGACTAAATTATATTTTAAACTAATTAAATTTTGAAAACATTTTTTTCAAATTGTAATAATATATCATATATGTATGTGTAATAGAAAAAAATCTTTACCGACCACAAATTTTTAGCATAATTTAAAAAAAAGAAAACAAGTTTGGCCATGAGTAGAGATCTTTCACTTTGTTCATCTGCCCTGGATGGACCTTGTCGCCTCACGTTCATATGTTATTGACCTCCGTTTACCTCCACCTCTCTCCAAGCCCGAGGATGTGAGTTTCTTCCTCTGCAAAGAAGTGGATCCCTCTGTGTCAGAATCCTTTTCTGCTGTGGCCATTCCGCCCCCTGCTGGTGAGGAGGACTCTGAGACACCCCGGGAGTTTCCAGACGGCTTTGAGCCTCTGCGCTCAGAGCAATTAGCAGAAATGAACGTACAGACCTCTCCCATCGTCAGAAACCCTTACATGTCCCCCCTTCTGGCTCCAGACAGCATGCTCAAGGGACTACCTCCCATACACATTGTGGTAAGCTTGACCAAAGACTTTTTACAATCGATGAGTTTGAGAAGATGTGCTTTGTACTTCATTTTACGATGAGAAAATGATTTGAAATGCTTTCATTCCCCTCATAAGCATATTTTTATTCTGTTTGCCCTCATTTCTCAGGCCTGTCATCTGGACCCCATGCTAGACGACTCTGTGATGTTTGCCAAAAGGCTGCGAGATGTCGGTCAGCCAGTGACCCTATGTGTCGTGGATGACCTTCCTCATGGCTTCCTCAGCCTGTCACAGCTCTCGAGGGAGACTCGAGAAGCTGCTAACGTATGCATGGAGCGAATCAAGGATGTCTTCACCATGAAAGACCCTCTGCCAGAGATGCGCAAACACCGCAAATTGGAACGGACCATTCAGAAACCTTCTGCTACCAAAAAAGACCACATTCAACTTTCGCAAGTGACCGTGCTGGAGGAAGAGGGGGTATCTGTTGCTGGAGAAGCTTCTGTTGTGAATGATGAGGGACTTGCTGGCTTTTACCCTCCCTCTGAATCTGAAAAGATTCCAGCTTAGAATTTTGGACTGGTTTTGTTCTGAATCATACCAAAAGAGAGATACGAAGGCCAGAGTAAGGCCATATTATGTGAATCACACCAGGGGCGGAGCAAGGGGGTGGTTAGATGGGCTTAAGCCCTGAATGTTTTGTCAAAAGCCCTGAATCTTTTGGATTTTTAAAAACAAATTTAACTTGTTTTCATTTTCTCTCAGTCTTTCTGACTGGAGCTGCAAAAAATGTAAACAAATCTCTATTACCGTGCGTGGATGCGGATGGTAATGCATCGCGCATCACTCAGCTTGACAGCCAACTGCCAATAAAACCTAAAGAAGAAATTCATCGTCGTTGTCATGAGGGGCTGGCTGCTGGCGCCTAGCAGGCTTTTTGTATGTTTCACTGGCGTCGTAGCAAGCTTACATAAATTATTATGGACATAACAAAGTTTTCTTTACAGAAAACTAAACCTCACCGGCCGGAGAGAGATTCAGCGTCAGACGACCCGTGGACAAATGTTTACGCGTCTTTGCATTGACTTTACATTGAAATCACTCACCCCTGACGCGCTATTCGCGTCCGGTGTGAACGCACCTTGATGATTTGTGGGCACATCTAATCTCGGCACATTAGTGGGATAAGAAAAGAGACTAATTGAGAATTGAGAAATATTATATATTGCTGAAGAAGATTAGAAAGTCAAGAGAAAGTATATTTCCTCCTGATGACAACAATTACAGTCACGTTTCAGATGCATCAATATCGTTAATAGGCTTAAGTATTTTTTCCCCTCATACTTTAATTTATAAAGTAAATATTTAATATATTCAACATTCATTACAAAAAAAAAAAATAAAATAACTCAAGCCTTTTATTGTTTTAATCTTGATAAGGGATTGCAGCTCATGGAAATTAAAACTCCAGTAGTAACGTACCTAACGTTAGTAATCTCAAAAATGTATTAGAATTTTAGAACAAAGAATATTTTATACGACCTGACAAGATCTCTAATCAGCTAATCAACTCAAAACACCTGCAAAGATTTCCTGAGAATTTAATCTTTCAGTCTTATTCTGGTGGTGCAACACAATATAATGTCATTATTAGTGTTTACATAATTAAGGAATTGTATGCTGAACAGTAATAATTAATAGTAGCAGCAGCATATTGCTAATTAAATGAATATCACAGTCCACAATTTTATATGTAAGCTTTTTGAACAACGTGTCATTGGAGCGTTGCCATGGACGCGTTCTGTTATCACAAACAGCCTGAAAAATAGTGCATTTAGCTGACGTAAATGGGAAAAAAAAATCTCAGGGGGAGTATCCCCCTGGACCCCCTAGGTTTGGGCTAAGCTCCGAATATTTACGTCGTCTGGCTCCGCCCCTGAATCACACATTATGTGAATGATTATAGTGGATAAAAGTATATAAAGAACAATAAAGTAATTAAGCAATTAATAAATTCTAACTTAAATTAGAGACATTAATTATTTAGTTATAGAGAGGAAAAATGAATACACCTCTTGCTTTATTATTCAAATCTGATGGCGTACACACGCACTCCCTTTACATCTATATTACCACTTTGCCTTTTGGTGTGTTATACCAGCACAAAAACTAATATCCTGCCTTGTTCTAAAAACATCCCAGCACATAACGTCATTATTACAAATGGATGTTCCTCACTCCTTATAGCACTAAATGTTCGTATACAATAATGAAATCTGTCTACAACTGTGATTCAATATTATACCTGTGTGTTACACTTTATACTCCGTAGAATGT